ATTATGCTAAGCGAAATAAGTCAATCAGAGAAAGGCAATTATCATATGATCTCACTGATATGTGGAATTTAAGAAACAGAACAGAGGATCATAGCAGAAGAGAGGGAAAAATAAAACAAGCAGAAACCAGAGAGGGAGACAAACCATAAGAAACTCTTAATCTTAGGAAACGAACTGAGTAAAAAGAAATGAACTGAGGACTGCTGCAGGGGAGGGGTAAAGGGATGGGGTAACTGGGTGCTGGACATTAAGGAAGGCACGTGATGTAATGCCCACAAGGTATTATATAAGACTGATGAATCACAGGCCTGTACCTCTGAAACCAATAATACATTATGTGTTAATTAACTGAATTTAAATTTAAAAATATTTATATATATATCTAAGAAACATACCCAGTTAAAAAAAAAAAGGCAGTATATGAGCACCCCCACCATGGTATCTGCCATCTGGATTCATGTAGATCAAGTCTACATAGTAGAGATGATCAAATCTTAACTGCTTCAAATCACAAATTAAGAAATCGGGGGGGGCTGGGGGTGGGCGCCTGTGTGGCTCAGTTGTTAAGCATCTGCCTTCAGTTCGGGTCGTGATCCCAGGGCCCTGGGATCGAGCCCCACATCGGGCTCCCTGCTCAGTGGGGAGCCTGCTTCTCCCTCTCCCTCTGCCCCTGCTTGTGTTCCCTCTCTCGCTGTGTCTCTCTCTGTGTCAAATAAATAAATAAAATCTTTAGAAAAAAAAAAAGAAATCAGGAGGGGCAAAACAAAAGGTTATTATAAAAGAAGATTAAAGGTTATTATTTTAAAAACTACACAGAAACGTCAAGAAATATGGTATCATTAATTTGTGAATTTTCCATCTGTAATATATTTTACTTGTGCATAAAAGTTTAAACACCAATGCTTTGAATGTTACAAGAGCAGCATCTATTGAGAAAGTAATGTTCCACAACTCAACATTTTTGAGAGCCAAGTAGGTGTCAAGAATGATGCAAGGTGCTTTCGTATTACAGGTATCTTGATTTGAACAGGATCATCTACCACTATTACATTTACTGGCAAGCTGTGCTTCCAAGGAACAGAAATGGGCCCTCAACAAGGAACACTCCATGCCTCAGAGTAAGAGGAAGTGGCAATGAGCACCAGGCCCGATCAGAGCCATACAGATTAGTGACCGCCTTGTGCATCTCCTTCTGGAACCAGAATGTCTATTGCAGGTTCTCCTTCCCTCTCATCCCTATATCTTAGGTATGAGAAAGGCCAGGAACTGTTTATTTCACAGATCCGGACCAAGGAGCCCCTCCTGAATGCCTGAAAATGCATCCAAGGAGCCTCATCGGCACCTGGAACTAATTTAGATGGCAACCCCCTGGATTTCAAGGTAAGACTCTTGGAGGTGAGAGGAGCAAACTTCGTGTGGGGAAGAGCTGTGAATAACTGTGACAGCTGGTGAACCATGGCAGATTACTTCCACAGATGACTCCCAGTCCACATGTCCTTTTGTAATGTGATTTTGCCACTTGTCCCATCAACAGGTAAAACCTATTTCCCCTCCTCTTGAATCTAGGCTCACCCAGTGACCTGCTTTTACCAACAGAGTGAAGCCTGAGCCTTAAGAGGCCCCACAGTCCCCATTTCCACCCTCCTGGAAAACAGACACTGTATAAAGAACCTCATGCTAGACTATGGTGAAGGGCCATGGGAAGAGAGAGACTGACCCATCTAGAGGAGTTCAAGCTCTGTGTCGGGTGTAGAGATTACTTACATACATGAACTTTAAAAAAATATATATTGTTTTATGCCTCCTGAAAGGATGTGCAGCACAAAAAAAACCCTGGTTCTACAGTGTATTCGACAAAGAAATATAAATGTAGCTGAATTGTGCAGAATGAGCAGATTGGTGAAAGAGGTGGTACTTTTGTCCTACCAGAGGCAGCCAACAGGTCCTATGTGTAAATACTTATGAAAATAAAGTAGCGCAGCAGAAACAGTATTACTGAAAGTAAAACATAAAACTACAACATTTTAATTTTTTTCCCTTAATTTATTTGAGAGAGAGAAAGAGCACAAGCAAGGTGAGGGGCAGAGGGAGAAGCAGACTTCCTGCCAACCAGGGAGCCCAATGTGGGACTCAATCCAGGACCGTGGGATCATGACCCGAGCTAAACGCAGATGCTTAACTGACTGAGCCATCTAGGCGCCCAAAACTATAACATTTTAAATAAAACATTATGGTTTAAACAAATAGAAAGTATTATGGTGCTTTTCCTGAAGTACATTACAGAGATCACTTTTACATTATCTCCTTTAATTTTCTATGCGGACAGCACACAAATAGATCTTATGTTTACTGGCAAATAAATGCTATTAATGTTAAACATCTCACGTATACAAAGCTGAACTAAAGCCCAAGGTGTTGTCAAGTGTTGAATTTATTGTTTTTATTTTAATTTTTAAAAAGATTTTATTTATTTGACAGAGAGAGAGACAGCGAGAGAGGGAACACAGCAGAGGGAGTGGGAGAGGGAGAAGTAGGCTTCCCGCCGAACAGGGAGCCCAACGTGGGGCTCAATCCCAGGACCCTGGGATCATGACCTGAGCCGAAGGCAGATGCTTAACCAACTGAGCCACCCAGGTGCCCCAAATTCCAGACAATTTAGAACAACAGTTTATATATCTATCTAAATGTATACAAACAACTAGGTTTTGCATGTGAGCAATTGTTCCTAGAAACTCACATTTATGAAATAGGTTTTAATTTAAGAACTAGTGAAATTTGTGGGGCACCTGAGCGGCTCTGTTGGTTGAGCTTCTGACTCTTGATATCAGCCCAGGTCATGATTTCAGGGTCCTGAGATGGAGCCCCGCGTCGGGCTTGGCACTCAGTGGGGAGTCTGCCCAAGATTCTCTCTCTCCCCCTGCCCCTCCCCCCGCCCACACACATGCTAATAAATAAATAAATCTTTAAAAAAAAAGAGAGAGGGCGCCTGGGTGGCTCAGTTGGTTAAGCGACTGCCTTCGGCTCAGGTCATGATCCTGGAGTCCCTGGATCAAGTC